GCTATCTGCATGCATATCCCCCCCCCCTTTTGCCTAAAGTTGCCCACTCTGTCAAGGTGTGTGGGAGAGCGCTTCCACGGGAAGGCTTCTTATTTATTTATCATATGGCAGAGTGATACGCAGGAAGTATTCTTTTGCAGAATGCAATTGCTACATTTATTACATATACAAACTTTTCCAATCATAGAATATAAAGAAACATAATTTTCAAGATGGACTAACCATTATTCGTAGATACACAATCATTTCAAAGTTGGTATAGCCTTCTAGAGCAAGAGTAATGATCCTCTGTATAATGGAATATCATTAACACACAACACAAATTTAAAGGGACAGTCCATCCATAGTTGCAGAAGGCTCTTTAAAGGACCATATCAGTTATTAAAAAAACAAAAGTTCTAAAGATTGATCGATGCAGTGCGGACTGCAAGTTTTAAGTCGATGTATCCAGAAAGCTTCCCTACAGCTCAACGTCTTTTGAATTTCAATTCTGTTGTATCTGTTAGTAATCAGCTTTCCCAAAATTAGGAATTTGAAGTTGTCACAACTATGACCTACATTAACAAAATGTTGGACAAGTGGCACGCCCATCTGTTTATTTCTGATATGAGATTTATGTTCAATAATACGGGTCCATATAGAACGCGTAGACATACTGATGTATAAAAGCTGACATTCACATTTTATCAGATAAATAACCCGTTTGGTGGAACAGTTTGAGAACGTGGTAAGATCTTTTGATTTCCCATGCCACACACAGGAAATATATAATAAAATAAAATATGTAACCAAGTTGATACAATGGATATGCAGACCAATTGGGTAAGCCCCCTATATACTAATATATTTTCAGTCCACTCAGCCACAGCACTGAAAAATGGAATGGAAAGCTACTTGTAATTACTTGCTAGTATTCATTCACAGTTCCCTGATCCAAGCCCGAGTCCTTAGCCAAGCTGAAGATGCACACAGGTATGATACATCTGCCATAGAATGAGTTCACAACTTTGCTAGTCAGACAGTGAGCACTCAAGTTCTGTTGGAGACCCTTTGGATTTTATCCCCAAGACTCATGAAGCAAATAGGTGCCAGGAAACAAATTAATGGGTATAACTGCGCTCTCGGTTGTCATGTTGGGGATCTCTGTCAACTAACCACATGACATTTGAACACACACACACACACAGAACTCTTACAAAAGTGGGCTTCTGCGTTCCCACTCTGTGGAACAAGGGCTATCTGCATGCATATCCCCCCCCCCTTTTGCCTAAAGTTGCCCACTCTGTCAAGGTGTGTGGGAGAGCGCTTCCACGGGAAGGCTTCTTATTTATTTATCATATGGCAGAGTGATACGCAGGAAGTATTCTTTTGCAGAATGCAATTGCTACATTTATTACATATACAAACTTTTCCAATCATAGAATATAAAGAAACATAATTTTCAAGATGGACTAACCATTATTCGTAGATACACAATCATTTCAAAGTTGGTATAGCCTTCTAGAGCAAGAGTAATGATCCTCTGTATAATGGAATATCATTAACACACAACACAAATTTAAAGGGACAGTCCATCCATAGTTGCAGAAGGCTCTTTAAAGGACCATATCAGTTATTAAAAAAACAAAAGTTCTAAAGATTGATCGATGCAGTGCGGACTGCAAGTTTTAAGTCGATGTATCCAGAAAGCTTCCCTACAGCTCAACGTCTTTTGAATTTCAATTCTGTTGTATCTGTTAGTAATCAGCTTTCCCAAAATTAGGAATTTGAAGTTGTCACAACTATGACCTACGTTAACAAAATGTTGGACAAGTGGCGCGCCCATCTGTTTATTTCTGATATGAGATTTATGTTCAATAATACGGGTCCATATAGAACGCGTAGACATACTGATGTATAAAAGCTGACATTCACATTTTATCAGATAAATAACCCGTTTGGTGGAACAGTTTGAGAACGTGGTAAGATCTTTTGATTTCTCATGCCACACACAGGAAGTATATAATAATATAAAATATGTAACCAAGTTGATACAATGGATATGCAGACCAATTGGGTAATCTCCCTATATACTAATATATAGATTTTCAGTCCACTCACCCACAGCACTGAAAAATGGAATGGAAAACTACTTGTAATTACTTGGACAGCTGCTGGTCCCTCCCAAGTGAACTTCTGCTCACCCCTGCTGTGCCAGGGTCAACTCTTCAGCCTTTGGCGGTCTCCTGGCATACTGAATCCACTAGGGATGCGGCATCTCTGCAACATCCCCCGTTGTGATACAGATAGGTTTTGTTTTCTACATTACTACATTAATTCAGTGCATACAGCTGAGTTTTTTGGCCCAGGATTGGAAGAAATAAGGAGGAACGGAGGTGATCCTATCAGGAATCAAGGTGAAGCACTCCTGCCAAGCAATGCATTTGGGATATCTTGAAGGGATACATTTGTGTGACCGGATTGATTTTATTCATATCCTGCATTTCTCCCCAATGGGGACCCCATTTTATCCTCACAACAACCCTGTGAGGTAGATTAGGCTAAGAGAGTGTGACTGACCCAAGATCACCCAGCAAGCATCTGTGGCAGAGTGGGAATTTGAACCTGTGTCTTCCAGATCCTAATCAACACTCTCTTAACCACTACACCACACTGACTCTTCACCTGACCTGAGGCTCCCAAAACTAAGGAGGGGTCAGAATGAGAAAAGCTATAGTTCAATCTGACAACATGAGAAGAAAATTTAAGATTTATAGATGTTGGGACCAACACAATCTTCCTTTGCTGGTGTTTGTCCTGGAAGGAAGTGAACTGTGGATCTCCAGTTGGGGACAGCGAAAGCACCCTTCCCTTCACGTTTGCATTCTCTGGGTAACTGACTTATCAGCACGCTTATGCTGGAAGACAGCAATGGAAGTGCACTTCAATCACCTTTTCTCTGGTCTGTGGCTCGTCAGGCCCTGGAGTTGTCCATCCTGGGAGGGAGAGGGTGCAACCTCCCGATGGGCCCTAAAATTGATTCATTTACACCCCAGATTTGTCCCAGTGGGGACCCAAAGTGGCCGACGTTCTCCTCTTCTCCATTTTATCGTCACAACAACCCTGTGGGGGAAAATAAGGCCGGATGTGTGCAATTGGCCAAGCTTCCATGGCAGAGTGTAGAGATTTGAACCTGGGCCTCCCAGATCCCAGTCTGACACTGGGGTTGCTAACTTCCAGGTAGTGGCTGAAGACCTCCTGGAATTACAACTGGTCCCCAGACGACAGAGATCAGCCGTCACAACAACCCTGTGGGGGAAAATAAGGCCGGATGTGTGCAATTGGCCAAGCTTCCATGGCAGAGTGTAGAGATTTGAACCTGGGCCTCCCAGATCCCAGTCTGACACTGGGGTTGCCAGCCTCCAGGTAGTGGCTGAAGACCTCCTGGAATTACAACTGGTCTCCAGACGACAGAGATCAGTTCCCCTGGAGCAAATGGCTGCCTTGGGCTGGTATCTATGGCATTAACCCCAGTGAGGTCCCTCTCCTCCTGAAGCACCTCACCCAAAATCTATCTCCAGGAACTTCCCAATCCAGAGTTTGCAGCCCAGTTACTCTAACCACAACGCACTACAATGGCTCTCTAAAGGAAGGCTGCCAGCTCTGGGTTGGGAAATACCTGGATGTTTTGGGGCTGGAGCCTGAGGAGGGCCAGGACTCCAATCGGGTATAATACTACACACTCCATCTTCCAAAGCGACTAGGATTGCCATCCACCCCTGATAAAAGCTGGGGTTCCCCCACTTTCGGGGGCTCCAATCAGCCCTGCCCCAAAGAGCCCTGTCATGATTACGTCACCTGGAAGTGATGTCATTGGACCGGGCATGTCACACAGGAGACACTAGCATTTGGCTAAAAACTCTATGGTGACCATAGCATTTTTGGCCAAATGCTAGAGCGTTCCTCCACGCGATGTGCCGGGGGGCCAATGATAGCACTTCTGGGTGATGTCACTGTGGTGCACACGCAAAGCATGCACGCCAGAATATCCAGGCACCAATGTTCCTGGATCTGTCCATGGGGTCGCGAAGAGTCGGACTCAACTGTGCGACTGAACAACAACAACAATGTTCCCTCTAAACTGTGGAGTCTTGTGAGCAAAAAGTTCTACTTTGTAAGCTACTGGCATTGCATTTGGCTAAAAACTCTATGGTGACCATAGCATTTTTGGTCAAATGCTAGAGCGGTCCATGCAGGGGGCCAATGACAGCACTTCTGGGTGATGTCATTGTGGTGCACACGCAAAGCATGCATGCCAGAATATCCAGGCACCCAGGCTGGAGCCCCTAACTGGCAGCCAGGTAAGACCTGGCAACCCTAAAAGCGACCATTTCCCCCAGGTCAACTGATCTCTGTTGTCTGGACAGCATCTGTAATCCCAGGCGATCTCCACCCACCACCTGGAGATTGGCAACCTTCCTCTAAAGGTATCCCGCTTTTTCTTCTTCTTCTTTTTTTGGTGCAGAGGTTAGCGCTTTCCTCCTCGCTGGGCAGCTGGTCTCAGGGCCAAAAGCTGACCATTCAGAGTCAGGGTCTAGACCTTCAGAAAGAGAAGGGAGAGATGTGCCCCTTCAAAAAGAGGCCACAGGGGGCCGGTCGAGCCCAGGAGTTTTTGGAAGAGGCGGTTATGTGACGTCACGGGGAGGAAACCGCCCTTCTCGCCCATCCCCGAAGGCCACGCAGACTCCGTTCGGCGGCCCCGGATTGCGGCCCTTCCGGCACACCGTCACCCTTCTCCGCGCGCCCCATCCTTTCGAACTCGCCGTCCTGGCCGCCACACGCGTCGCTTCCGGTGACACCCGCACTCCCTAGGCTTGCGCCCCGGAAGTGTTGGCCGAGGCACCGCCCCCTGACCTCGGAAGTGGCTCCCTGCTCCCTTTTCCGGTGAGGAGGAGGCTGCAGTTGCCGCCACTGGGGCTGGAGCTGGGGGGTTGTCTCCGGGGGCCGGGCGGGGCAGGGGCATGGGCAGCGGGCGAGGGAACATGAGCGGGTGTCTTCGGCAAGGGTCGCTTCCGGGGTTAAGTCACCCGGAAGCGGAAGAGGACAAGGGCTGTCTCCTGTCCGCCTGGCTGTCTGCGGGAGCGGCGGCGGCAGGCGGCAGTGGTGGCGGCGTCGTCGGCTCCGGGGCCGGTCCCTCGCAGCTGGTGGCCCGAGCGCCGCTGGACTCCGCGTCGGCGCGGCCGTTGTTCCCCGCCTCAGCCCGGACGGGGCGGAGAGTGAGGGGCCGCGGGCGGGGTCAGTGCGAGCGAAGGGATGCGGCGGCGGGGGGCTGGGAGGGGGAGGGCGCCCCTGAGGGCCCTTGGGCTGGCCCAGGCGGGAGGGGGCTCGGAGGGCTCCGGCTTCCCCTTTTCCCTCCCCCACCCCCCATCTTCGGCAGTGGAAATGTGGCATCTGCAAAGGGGAAGGGAGGACGTGTCGAACCCAGCCACAGGAGACGCAGCGAGGGGCAGAGTTAGTACTTCGGCCAGCTGGCGGCTAGCTTGCGGAACTCCCTGACACAAGAGGTGGTTGACGGCCACTGGACCAGGTGGCTTTAAAAGGGGCCAGACCGCTTCATGGAGGAGGGCAGTGTTCTGGTTGGTTGTTCGCCAGAATAATTAAATGTAAACTCCATGTGCAGAGGCAGTGTCTGTCACTGAATAGCAGATAACCCATGGGAGGGCGAGAGCAGCGGTTTGGGGCCAGTGGGCTTCCCAGAAGCATCTGGTCGACTGCTTTAGGAAACGGGATGCTGAGGCAGGCAGGCTCCTGTTCTCATCTAACAGAACTTAAAATGAAATAGGGGCTCACCTGGTAGGTTCCGTGAGCTCCCCCTCACCTTCCTTTGTATTATGCCTGTATTCATGACTTGTCAGTCACTCTAAGTATGGTAGAGGATGTTACAGGCCGCACTGTAGATCCCAAAGGGGAGCTGATAAAGCCTTTTTGAATATCTTATAAAGTATAGCTTTTCAAAATATAGGCAATCTCCACCAAGTAGTTGAAGAGAGGGACTGCCCTAGAAGGGAGAGATTAGGCAAAAAAAAGTTCTCAAAGTTCCATGGGAGGAGAGAAAAGTTTAGCAAGTAGGATACCCCCCCCCCCCCATTCTTGTGCACACAGACACATGACTATGCTCTTCCAGTAAGAGCGGATGTTTTATTCTAATGATGTTTCTCCGCATGTGGTTTTTCAAGGGAGGGGAAGAAGGTGATCTGATATGCTTTTAATTACTGGTGTAGGATAAGTGTGTACGATTCAGAGGTCACTCATCCTCTGTTATCTGGGCTGCAGGGAGTGTGTTGGTGTTTCTTTATGCATATCTTTCAAGTTTTATTCTGGAGTTTGCCTTCCCCCACTTTGTCCTCTGGATTTCTCCAGGAGTGCAGGTTCTTATTTGGAAATTGCCCACTTGTATCCCACTGTAGTAACGAGTGGCATTGTTTTGGCATTGTGGCTTTTGAGAGTTACATTTAACCCAGTGCTTTAGAAGGTGCTGTTCTGTCCCAAGGCTTCATTGTGGCATTTATTGGGTACTTAGATGCTTTAGCTTAATAAGTTTTGACTGATTCATCCCTTGGCAGCAAAATAAAGGATACTTGTTTCTTAATAGATCTACTGTTTCTCCAAACTGATCCTTAATAGTCTAACAGAAACCCAAGCCTTCCCGGGTGGTGCCAATTGGGCCAGTTTTGAATAAGTGACTGTATGACAGTAATACGTGTTTTCTCATTTTTTTTCTTGCATATTTGCTGTTGGCTGTTACTCCATTCCTTCATCTGCTGTTGCATCTAAAGTGTGTCAGATCTGTTTCCCCATGAAATGCGACGTGGTCCATGCCTGGTGATATTCTTTCTGCAAATTGTCTGTGAACAATCTGTTTTTGCCAGTGCATACTTATTTTGGCTTGGAAGTTATTGTTTTTTTGCTTTAAAGCTACACTGATTGCTCTTGGTAATAGGTTTGGAGGTGAGAAGAAGGCTTAAAGCTGCCCTGGTCACTCTTGATAATAGCCTGGAGGTGAGAAGGAGGTTGGTTTGTTTGGCTTGTCTCTGATAATTGAGATGATAGTTTTTCCTTTCCTCCTGTAAGAAGTTGCATAGTGACAAGAAGGTGATCCTACACTTTGTGCAGCCCCCATCCTTTGCATGTTTACTTGGAAGCGAGTCGTGCTGTGTCTAAAGGGACTTACTCCTGAGAAAGCATGCAAAGGGTTGTAGCCACTATTGTACAGTCTTTAATAAGAGATTAGTGGCGGTGTTGTGTCATTAGAAGTGATACACGCAGTAGCTGTTGTAAGTCCGCATTTCACTTTGTAAAGGCTTACGTGGTCAGCTGAAACCTGAATACTCCAGATCTTGAAACTTGTTTTCCCACTGTTAGTTCCTTCTGTCAAATTTCTGTTCTGTAGAAATGTGCTCTCCCACCTTCTGTGTGGATTTTTTTGGGAAATTAATGCTAGGTTTCTTTTTAAAGGTTGACAGAAGACAAGTAGGGCTTGTACGGCTCCGCTCATACTCTCTAGAGACCTTGTCTGGAGTGAGTGAGTGTACATAGGGAGGCAGGCCTAGGGGCTCAAGAGTCCTCTTACAGACAAAGGAGAAGGAAAGTCTTTCCAGGAAAAGAAAGTGACACAGGAGACTCAAAACTTGGCTCTGTATTATATAGAGAGAGTTAGGGCTGAACAGGGCTTGGACAGGTGATCGGTCATTTAAACCCACAGCTGAGTTTGCCCCATTACCTCCCGGTGAGTTGAAGCAAATGGCACTCAAGTGCTGTAAACTCCCAACAATCAAGGATCATGAATATTCCTGTAGCCTTGAGAACAATTGCTACAGTTATGCCATCAACTTTTCTGCAGGCATTAAGATGCAAAGTTTTTTTTTTTAAGGGAGGTAACTTGCTGCTGCCTCGCTGCATCTGTCCTGCTGTGCTTTTTTGGGGGTGGGTGGGTGTTGGGCAATGCTTTGATAGAGTAAGGAAGCCCATCCAGGCTCTTGTTTTTGGGGGGTTCAGGTTGCACCATATCCTTGTGGTCTCTTTGTGAAGACTGTGCAGACCCAATTGAAAAGCAACACCGGAATTGAGAGACTGATCTGAACTTTTGGGAGGTTTGGAACATCAGGGGAGCCTATCTGCAGAACCCCCATGAGCTTTACAGACCAAAGGAATCCCAGCAGTAGAGTCGAGGCGGAGTTTAAAACAGGAAAGGGATTGTCCATTAAGAGTGCTGTATGAAAGTTCTCTTGACATCAGGCCCTTCTGTCTTTCTCTCCCCAGCTAGAATGGAAGAATCTCACTTCAACTCCTCTCCGTATTTCTGGCCTGCGGTGCCCACGGTCTCCGGACAGGTAAGGAAAGCCTCCCCTTTGACCGTGCTTTCTGCGGAGCCGGCCTGCTGCTATGCTAACCAGCCTCTCTTCCCCTCTTGCGCCAGATCGACAACAGCATGTTCATCAACAAGATGAAGGAGCAGCTGTTACCCGCAGAGAAAGGCTGTGGCCTGGCTCCCCCCCACTACCCCGCCCTGTTGACCGTCCCCACCTCCGTGGCCCTGCCAACCAGCATCTCTATGGAGTCTGACACCAAGCCAGAGCAGCTCACCCCGCACAGTCAGGCACCCGTGACGCAGAACATCACTGTGGTGCCTGTGCAGTCGGCCGGGCTCATGACGACAGGTGAGAGGCTCGAGAGGGGGCAGAAGGGAGCTTCAGTGGAGGGAGACATCTGGGGGGGGGGGTTGCTGGATCCTGTCAACAAAGGTGTTTGGTGACATAAAGGAAAAGAGTTCTCACAAAATGTGACCTGGATGCCAGATTGGTGCAGTGGTTAAGTGCGCGGACTCTAATCTGGGAGAACCGGGTTTGATTCCCCACTCCTCCACTTGCAGCTGCTGGATGACCTTGGGCAAGCCCTAGTGCTGTCAGAGCTGTCCTTGAAAGAGCAGTTCTCTCAGAGCTCTCTTGACCCTACCTACCTCACAGGGTGTGGGGCGAGGAAGGGAAAGGAGTTTGTAAGCCGCTCTGAGACTCCCAAGTGAGGGGTGGGGTATACATCCAATCTCTTCTTCTTGAATGACAGTAAACTGTTCGCTGTCTACCATTGTAATGCCATCGCGAAGAAACCCTCTGGGAGGAGTAAGGAATGGTGTTGTCAGGGAACCTGATCTGAGCTTAGGATACCCAAGTGGCTGCAGGATCAGTTCCCTTCCGAATAAGGGGACGTCAGGTACTGGCAAGTACTGGAACCTGACTCAGCATGCTTGCCAGGTGGTACTTCTGCTAGGGGTCTTTACCTAAGCAGGCTATAAAAACAGGAAGAGGAAACAACAGCAGTTGGGGCTTCATCGGAGTGGCTGCAAATGGTTGCTGTAAGAAGCCCCCAGCAACTGAAGGGACGTGAGGATCTTTAGACTGCTGTTTGTTTCATGTTCTGCAATTAAAGTGTTTCTGGATCACAGTGCCTTGCCTTGTTGAATGCTCTTTGACCACCCAAATCCGCTAGGAAGAACTCTTGCCTCAGGCAAGAAGACGGCCTCCGGCAGAACAACCATCTAGCCAAAAGTGTGTGATATTCCAGTCCTGTACCTCTGGGATTGCGTGACTGTGAGCGTAACTCTCTGGGTTAATATTTTAAGGGGCAAGTTCTGCTTCCCCCAAGGTCTAGGGAGATACGTGGAGGTTCTCTTGGGGCTCATGTCTGATCTTCCACTCTCCTCTTGCTGCAGGCCCTGGCCTGGTGATCACTTCTCCCTCTGGGTCGTTGGTGACCACTGCTTCCTCCGTGCAAACCTTCCCCATCTCGGCGCCAATGATTGTCTCGGCCCTCCCGCCCGGCTCCCAGGCCGCCCTCCAGGTTGTCCCTGACCTTTCCAAGAAGGGGGGCGCTGCCCTTGCTGAGGGAGGGGCAGCCAGCGGCATCGGAGGCATCACTCCCAAAGCGCCCCGAGGTCGGAAAAAGAAGCGCCTGCAGGAGTCCGGCTTGCCGGAGATGAGTGATCCTTTTGTGCTGTCGAACGAGGATGACGACGACCAGCACAAAGATGGCAAGACGTACAGGTGGGCCTTGAACGCTGTTTTGGTTGTAGCCGGCGTTTCCGTGTGTGTGTGTGAGCATACGGAGAGCCAGCATTTGTTTTGCTGTGCATGGGAACAGTTTTGTTAAACTGTGTGGTGTTCTGGTTCACTGGGCCTCTTTAGTTTTGCTTTAAATGTGGCACGGGTCAGAAAGAAGCATGTAGGCTGAACTACAAGTGGATGAGGAACACAGAAAGAGCTTGTTCTAAGGTGTCTCGGGCTGCGCTCGATATCTCACCGTTGACTTGCAGGAGGAGGTGTCGTCGAGGGTAGAGTGATTTGTAGCTTAGTTGGGGGCCATGCAGCTGCAGGCTGCCCAGAGTTTTAGGGGGCAACTCATTCTATCCAGTATGCCTAAACCCATTATTGGTGCCTTAGGCCTGGATGGGCCCGGTCTCGTCAGGACTTTGAAGCTGAGAAGGGTCAGTCCTAGGTAATACTTGGAGAGGAGACCCCGGAAGAAGCCCAGGGTCGCGATGCAGAGGCAGGGAAGGGCAAACCACCTCTGTTTGTATCTTGCCTTGAAAACCCTGTGGGGTTGCTGTAAGTCAGCTGGGACTTGACGGCAATTTTCACCATCTGTGGACGCTGCTGCTCCACCCATCCTGGTTGTGGTGGGACTGCTCTGGCTTTGGGGTATTCTAGTACTAGACGTTAGCCTACTGCTTGTCGACAAGCTGCTGATCTTCTGTTCCCAAGGTTTTATTCCTGTACTGTTGGGTTTTTTGTTTGCTGGTGAGCAGGGTGGAGGCCGTCATGTGGTGAGAGCATCATTGACTGTGTGACTGCTAGGAATTAAGCGCGTGGAGCAGGGACCAGATAATCACTCCTTCAGGGTCCAGGTGTGGATTCTGTTATCTTGGACGCTCGTTGCTTACAGTTGCCTTCTACTGACATAACTGGGCCATAGGTCTGATTGCACCTTCACACTTCTATGTCTCACGAATGGTGCCTCCGGTGTCCGGTCGTCGTGAGCTCTGCGACATGGCTGGGAAGCTTCGGTTTGCAAGACAACACTCGTGGCATCTGCCGTATGTCAGAGTTTTCTTTAGCTTTAAGACTCTTGGGCACTTTATTGTCTGCGGATAGGCATGGGCCAATTTCCTCAAGCCCGTCGTCTTCAGAGTGCAAGTCGAGTTTATTTTGTATCTGGGTGTGGCTTTGCCGTTTTGTGCCTTGGTGAGTGGATTCCAGCAGATGTTGTGGTCCCGTCCCTGGAAAGCTTACGTGGTGGGTGCAATCCATTCACCCTGAGCTGCCAGTCTGGTTTGCTGCTTTGTGGCCTTCCACATATGTTTTGCTGTACAGGAGGGCATTTGAAAACCCTTCCCAATAATGGTGCTTGTCTGCTCTAACGGCCAGCACAGCTGTATCTCTGTGGGGGGGATCTCAGAGGCCGCTGATAGTCTTTAAGGCACAGCTCAGTTTGCTCCCCAGAGGAAGTAAGACCCTCATAGGGCTGCCTTGTGTGGGGCTCATTGCTGCCAGTGAGTGGCCTTGTAGACTTCGTGGAATTTCTGTGCCCTCTCTTTGCGTTTGTACTTGATCTTCGCCAGTGGGCACTCGGATTAATAAGCTTTATTATAACAAAGGGGATGTATGAGATCTCTTCACACGAAGCCGCGTTACACTGAATCAGACTTTTGGTCCATCAAGATCACCACTGTGTGTACTCAGACTGGCAGCAGCTCTCCAAGGCCTTAGGTTTTCACATCCAGGGTCTTTCGCACCATTTGCTACCTGATTGCCTTAACTGGATACCCTGGGGATTGAACCTGGGTCATTCTGCATGCCAAGCTGATGCCCTGCCACTGAGCCACAGCTCCTCCACTGTACTTTCATTGTACAGATGGTTTTTCTGCCACCCGCATCCGTTGCTGAAGTTCCAGAGAGTGGCTGTTCCTGAATTGTTTGTTCAAGCCAATAGGTGTAAACGCCATTGGCTCATTGAACCCGGCAGAGAGGTTTGATGTGCCAGTACAAAGGAATAACAGCAATTGGTGCAGAGACTTCCACCGGCTATGTCTGTCTTTGCTGCACAGTGTCCATTGTATCCTTCATCTGCTGGAAAGCATAGGGGCTTGAAGCCAGTCCCTTCAGAAAGCACCAGGACCCCAGTTGTCTCGCTCAGGTGAGCTTTTCTGCCCATGTCAGAACTGGGCTTTGGAAATTCCATCAGGTCTTGCTTGAGAGTGGCCATTTCCTGTTTGAATCCAGGCAGGGAGCCTTCAGACCTCAGTGGGTTCTCTTAGGAAGCAGGACTGACCAGTACCGTTAGGAAGGTCGGTGCTGGATAAGGCTAGCAGGGCAGACCTTGTGCAGCACAACGTCCCCTGGACTACTTTGGCTAGCTCCCTCCCATCAGTATAGGCCAAACTTGCTCAGTGTGAGAGCCACATAGAATAAATGCCAGATGTTTGAGAGCCGCAAAACTCGAACAAATATTACACGTATGTTTTTATTGGAAAATATACAAATTCGCTTTTTTGTTGACATTAAATGGGACTGCCAAAAATAAAAACACGAGGGGTAAAACCAGATACTGACAATGATATTTATTCGTCCAATATATTTATTAGTTTGCTAATTATATTTATTTGTCTAAGAGAGAGAGAGAGAAAGAGAGAGGTGGAAAGAAAGAATGAAAGAGGAGGAAAGAAAGAGATGGAAAGAAAGAGAGAAACAAAGAAAGCGAATAGGCGGGAGGGACGGAGGGAGGAAAAGCATGCCTTCCCTTTGCTTCCCCAGCTGCCCTGCGGGAAGCCGCACAATATGTGTGAGAGCCGCATGTGGCTCCCGAGCCACAGTTTGCCCACCCCTGGTATAGGCCATTAGACAGCCGTACAGCGAGGAGCCGGGCAGGCAGGCATGTTGAAACGGGCAACCTTTATGCGCTCTTTCTCATTCCGGTGGTGCCTGGTGTGTTGTCTGGATGTTAAGAACACACCACAGCTTGGGGAGTCTTTTGGTCTGCAGCAAAACACGGGGTCCAAGGGGTGTGTGTGTCTGTCTTAACTCCGGTGGCTCCTGCCACTGCCCATGTGTTGCTCCCTCTTTTTCTCACGGAGAAATGCTGCCGTTTCTTAGCCCTGCAGCCCTCCCTGGAGGGAAGGACTGGGCTGTGCTGCCAGTCATGAATGGCTGTTTCCTTAAAGGCTGCTGGTTTCAGCCTCCCTATAATTGGCTGCCTGGTGGTTGGGGGGCTCTGCTGCCCTCCTACTTGGAGAGGGGTGCAGCTGGTTGTCAGTGGGATGTTAACCCTCCCCTTGGGATGCACGGTAGGTTCAAAATTGGAATGAGCAACAAATGGAGGAGGGCTACCGAAATATGTTCTCAGGGATGGGAAGGCGGCTCCTTCTGCCCGAAACGACAACTGCAACATTGCTGTCAGCTGTGAGCGTCAAGTGGTCGGGTAAGCCGCGAGAGTACCACTCAGGTCCATGTTGTATTCTGTTGCTTTGTAGTCCCTTTTTCTTCCTACATGGTTCCAGATGAAGCCTGTTTCAGTTGAATGGATGTTGGACAGATGCCTGCCTACAAAGAGAGAGAGAAGGGATACTTTATAATGGACCTACCCAATAGCTCACAGCGACTCCTGGTGAACCCTCTAAGAGGGTTCTACTCATGAAGGCTTCATTTCATGTTGCTTGAGGCCCAAGTTGTTAGAGGGTAAAGCTTCTAGAAGAAAGAAGATTATCACAAACAGCAAGCTTGCTGCTTGCTCCAGAAATATCTAGTTATCTGGCTGCGTGCTAAGGGAAACAAGAGTGTGCATGTGTGAAGCTCTTCAGGTTTGTTTTTAAAAAACAGATCTATAATAGCGCAGTCTTCTCCATTGGCAGTCATAAACATGTTGGCTTTCCCTTGGTGGTGGTGGTTGTTCAGTCCCACAGTCAAGTCCGACTCTTCGCGACCCCATGGACAAGATCTTGCCAGGCCCTCCTGTTTTCTGCCATCCTCTGAAGTTTGCTCAATTTCATGTTCGTTGTATCTATGACACTGTCTAACCATCTCATCCTTTGCTGTCCCCGTCTTCTTTGACCTTCAGTCTTTCCCAGCACCAGGATCTTCTCCAGGGAGTGCTCCCTTCTCATTTGGTGGCCAAAGTATTTCCCTTGGTAAACGTTCTTAAAGAATGCCACCGTCGTGATCTCTGTCACAGTGTGGAGCATGATTAGCCTCTGGTTTGCCTCCCTTTTCACTGTCCACCTAAGGGTAAAAATCCAGCCCCTCTCTCTCATGTGGGTTGCCCTGAGGTCCACCTCACTGGGGTGTTGCACTGTAGCATACCAAGCAGCCAGGCAGCTGGGTAAGGACTTGTGCGGACTCTCAGGTTAAGCAAACTTTATTCCTGCAAGGCACAGACTCGGGGTACTACAAAAGGACAGGATCTAGGTGCGCGAAGCAAAATAAACCAAAGGACAGTTGCTAACTAGGTTCCTTACGATCCGTGATGTATCTGGCCTTAGGTAGTTGCAGGAGGCCCCTGTCCCTGGTGCATCTACAGCACCCTTTCGCATCGTTCTCCTATGTCTCTTATGTCGTCATTCATGGTAACCTGACACCAAACAGATGACCGTGAGCACTCCCCTGGTGGGCTCCAAAAGGAACAGTTCCCCCTTTCAGACCTCTTCCCCATAGTGCTCTGGGGCCTTCAGCGAATATGGGTGCCAAGTCTTGGGGCTCAAGCCTGCCAAATCTGGGCCCTCCAATCAAGAGGTGTTTTCCCTCTCAGTTGGAAAAGGATGCTCTCTATCTGGGAAGGGCACCTTCTCCCCTTCTTGCCAGCCACAGGGCCCCTTGGCCTCCTTTCTGTCACCGTAAGGGTCAGAACATCTCTTGCCCCTCATCTCATTACAGCCACTATTAAAAGTGAAAACTTTTTTGTGTGACTTCCACTCCACGTGGTTCATTCTGTGGGTTGCGGTGTAAGAATTTTGGAGAGGGGTCGTGGCTCAGTGGAAGAGCCTCTGCTCTGCATG